CACCCCTTTACAGGCTATGTTATCTGTTACCTTTAATTTCATTACTACTTATTAGAAGGGAAACATACAACATTGTGTTTTAGTTTCACAGGATTATGCCAGTTACTTATTTCTTTGCTATAGGTTTGCAACCCTGTAATTCCAGCCTCTGTTTCTACATCGAGTAACTTAAAAGTTATTCTGATATGAAAACATACTTCTTCTGTGTATCACCTTTTTTTTTGGTCAAAATTGTGCTAGAATTGCTTGGTCTTATCAATTAACCAGACATTTGAAACTGGTTTTCCCAAAAGTTGAATTAACTTCACTGAGTAGCTGGAAAAAAAATGGACTGAGTTTCAAGTCTGCCCCAAAGCATGAAGACAGACACATTTCTACTGGCTTCACAAGACCAACTGCTTTGCAACTCCCGCTTCCCCTGATATCTGAGGCTTCTTCCAAGCAGACTGTGCTTGTCATTACTGAAGAAACTTCAGTAGGTGAACTGAAAGACCATAAGGAACAGAGAGGAAGCAGGTGTACTGGTAACTGGGGCAGAGCTGATGAATTAAATTTTATGATGGACACTCAGACAATTTACAGTATTCTCAGTTACTGCTGTTATCAGTCAGAAACAGAACCATCCTGGCCAGCCACCCACAGTCCCGTGGTGTCTACCAAACACCAATGTTTTTGGCATCTTAAAATCTGTCTATAGCTATTCTTCTGCACTTACCTTCCCCTAACAAAATGTTACATAGGAAAAAAACCAGCAACCAAGCAGCCCTGTTCATGCTTCACCTCTTTCTCTTACAGGTGAAGCATTTACACATGGAGAGTGACTTCATATTCCTCCCCATTTTTACCTGCTAATGCAGTATTCTTTGTCTCCAGGTATACCCAGGTAGCGTGGTCGTTCACCAGTGGCAATGAGAAACCTCTCAGCTGTGTACAGCTTCTCAACTCCTCTTTTATTTGTTGCCTGTGGACAAAGTATTAGTCCAAAGTGAGTATTTTGCAGTCCTACCGAGGGAAAAATTATTCTATCTGAAAAGCATCTCTACTCAGAAAGTACTATAAGAAAACATGGCTAGGGAGTACCTTCACTGTGTGTGGCCCAACAAATTCTCCATATGCATTCTCATAGGTGACTTTCTTCTCCCTCAGTGCAACCCGATAGCCCCAGTTCAGTGAACCAATGTAATTCTGAACAGATTCTGTCATAGTCATCCAGTTGTGTTCGACTGTTAGAGACAAAAGAGAAAGGTTCATCTTTCAGTCTGTAAGTTCTTCTTTTTCCATAGCAAACCTTGTATTCTTAGATTTTTTTCATGACCCAGTCATGTCTTACTCCTTTTTTATTCCAGGGTAACTCTACTGAAATGCAAAGAATTACATCAGCATAGCCAACATGAGAGATCACAGTGGAACAGATATGACTCAAATTTAGACTTACTGCATTATTGATAGTCTTCCATTGATATGTGCTATGAGCAGGTGACATTGCCCAACAAATGAAGACTATGCATCTCCGAGAGATGCTTCCGCATGTTCCCCACTACAGGATTACGTCATAAATAAATCCCAATCCTATAACACGCACATTAGAGCGAATATAAAGTAAAATTCCTCTTCTTATGCAGGAGTAGTGACAGAGACTGAGGGAAAGGAAATCCTTGCCTGCAATTATGAGGAAGTTTCTAACAGGGGACATTCTGGGGTATGCCCTTAGATGTTGTGCTGCATTCAGAAATGGAGTAGTACTGTATTGCTTTTGTTCACTACAGCAATCTTATCGAATACTAACATGATCAGAAGCTATTAATAAACAGATCAAATGCTGCAAGGCAATAAGCCCAGTGGCTTTAAACTTGAAAAGTGCTTAAGTTTATATGTAATCTCTCTGAAGTTGCCTCATATTGTCAAAGCCAACACATGCGTAAGTGTAACAAGCACTTGATTGCGGAAAAAAACGCTTGATTTTCAGGACAAATGACAAAACGGCAAAAAAGTGTTTTCCTTTACCTTCTTCCGTAAACTGCCATCCAAATTTGCGTGAATCTTGCAAAGCTTGTCCCAGTAAAGCTGCCTGATGCATCAGTTTTTTAGGTATACAGCCCACATTTACACATGTTCCTCCAAGACCTGACAGAAAGGAACAGAATGTGTTTTTCACATCAGCGTGGCTGATCTCAAAGGATAATCAGAGTCTCTGAGTAAAGCTGCTTTATAACAGGTTTGCAACGAAGAGAAATTTACCCCATGAGTTTCCCAGAGGTGTAGGTGTGACAAAGTCCAGCACCATCACTTTCTTTTCATATTTGGCAGCTTCCTGCAAAACAAATTAAGACAGACATGTATCTAAACATTAGAGGTTAAATTTGGAGTAGATGATAACATCATGCATTGCTTAAAAGCTTTGTGACCTTTAATTAAGTAATAATGAATTATTTGCAAGGGAACAGTCATTAATCTGAATTAATCTGTTCACTCAGTAGGAAAAAAAAGATGAAAGGAGAAAAATAGGCATTCATCCTGCTACACAACAGCATGTCAGGAGTCGATACACAGAAGACTCTGGGAGTCAAACCTCCTCTTCTCTCCTCCATCCTGTCAGTTTGCTCACACTATTTCCCAACATGCCATTTACTTTTAACATATTTAACAAATTCTTCATTAATCCAGTTTTCCCTTCAAAGATGGTGTCTCAAACATTTGTCTGAAAACACATCACACAATGACATAAGCAGTCACATGGCCAAGCATCACAACTGTGCTTATCCAGTCTTTTTTCTTGTTGTACAAGGGAACACTCAATTCTGAGTATAATCTATAGTTGTCAGGATCAGCTCTTCAAGCTGTTCAACCTGCAGCAAGTTGACTTTACTGTCAGGATGTGGAGATGACATGCAGACTAGAAAGTGATGGTTTATTTCATGATATTTCCCCTGAGAAGTTTCATTAACGAATCTACAATCAATGTTTGTAAATGATATTGAGAACTGGGATTTCTATACTGATTCCATTGTTTCCTTTGTGCTTTTTACGAAAAAGGCAAAAATCGATGGTAGTAAGTGGTACCAGAGAAAAACATTTAAGCACTACATAGCTGAGAAACAGTGATGACAGATTCCCCCATAAGATTCAGCAAAATAACTTTGATACTTGGAGTAACCACAACTGTGTTGCAACACACGATGAGTTCTTAGACATACAAGCAATAACAACTATAGGCACAGGATATTACCCTAAGGCCTTGGTTTGGGAGGAGCTGGACAGCCTCCAGCATTATGTTACCAGTCATACTCGTTAATCCAAACAGCTGACAATCAGAATTTCAATTCTGAATGCGTATCTTCATGCAAAATACAAATCATATTTCAAACAGGCTGTAGACACCTTTAGAAAACATTAATGTACTGGATTCCTGCTTCCAACAAAGGTCAAGGTGGGCCAAGCAGCTGATTTCTATCCATTGGTAGCACCTCTGAGAAAGTTCCTCAGAAAGGCGCTTAGGGACTGAGATGTGTTATCAATGCTCCTTTATAATTACAGCTCTCGTACCCCGCTCAAAAGAGCTTTACTAGTGTTAGCTAACTAGAATGCACGGATTCCCAAGCTCACACTCAGCTGTACGCTCGCATAATACAGCACAGCACTGCGTCACCACCTCGGTAGAGACCACAAACAGACATAACCACTTCTGCAGAGTGAGATGCCCACAGTAACAAAACCTGCCCCTTAGGCTTTCAAATCTTTCTGGGTTCAGCGTCGTGCTGCACGAACACAACAAAGTGGCTTAAGGCTGGAGCTGTTTTGTGTGAACTGACAGTAGTGGCCTGGTGCTTTGGTCCAGGTCTGTGGTTGGGTTGCGCAGAGACAGCCTGGCAGCATTTGCGCTCACCGTGGAGACATGCCTCCAAAATAACAAGCTCTGAGCACAACACAGAGAAGAAACGGAAGACGTGTGCACAAACGCGCATGTGTCATAGTGAAAAGCACGCATTTAATCAGCCTAGTTAAACTGCTGCAAACCTGAGCGCAGATATCTGGAACTTGGTGTAAGAGTTGTGTAGTTGCGGGGTTTTTTTCCCCTTTTGCTTTGTTTTGCTTTTTAAAGCACTGTTTGTATCCTGGTTTCATCTGCAATAAAGTTAATTTTCTTCCTAGTGGCTGGTACAGTGTTGTGGTTTGGATTTAGCATGAGAATACTGTTGATAACACACTGATGTTTTAGTTGTTGCTAAGCAGTGTTTATGCTAAGTCATGGACTTTTCAGCTTCTCATACTGCCCTGCCGGCAGAGGCTGGGAGTGCCCAAGAAGCTGGGAGGGGACGCAGCAAGGACAGCTGACCCAAATGAGCCAAAGGCATATTCCATACCATAAGACATCATGCCCAGTATATAAACTGGGGGGAGTTGGCCAGTGGGCACCACGGCTCAGGGATTGGCTGGGCATTGGTCAGTGGGTGGTGAGTAATTGTACTGTGCATCACTTGTTTTGTATATTCTATTATTATTATTACTATTTGCCCTTCTTTTTCTGTCCTATTAAGCTGTCTTTTATCTCAACCCATGAGTTTTACTTTTTTTTAACAATCCTCTCCCCCATCCCACTGGGGGTGGTGAGCACATGGCTGTGTGGTGCTTAACTGCTGGCTGGGGTTAAACCAGGACAGTCTGTTAATTCACTAAAAAAAAAATAATTGAATAATCAAAGTATAAGTCAGAGGTTTATGCATGTAAAACAGTTTCACTTCAACTTCATGAAACTGATTTGAAGTACACACATTACTACTGATAGCGATGTTGACTTTATTGATCTACCATCTTCTGCTCTACTCTACAATCACTTGAGAACACTAAGAAGCAATACACTTTACACATCAAGTTGAAGGAATAAGGCAATTTATATGCCTAGCTACACACCTCTTCTGTTCCACATTTGAAAAATGATGCAATAAACATCACTGCTGTAGCTTCACAACCTAGCATACTTATACAACAAAGCAGTCTCCTTATGGAAATTTCAACAGATGGCTTTTTATTACTGCAAACTGTTTATGCATTACTGCAAGCTCCCTTTTACTCTTGTTATTCTGTCCTAAAACATACCCATCCTCTGAAAACCAGTGTCTGCTTCTCTTTGCAGGTTCTCAGAATTTTTATAGATCTGATCTTATCTTCCATCCTATGCCGTGACAATAGTGCCCCTATGGACTGGGAAGCAGTAAACTACTGAAATGGACATAACAGCACATTTCAATCCACCACTCAGCATTCCACTCTTCCATTATAGCAGAAATCCTTCTGAGGAACCAAGGTTTAGTGTGAACCCAATGCTATGCAGAAATATTTTCTCCTCATTTTCTTTCACTTTTCAATGACCTCCTTCACTTCTCGAGAACAAAAGAAATGCCTCCTGTCTGGAGGAATAATCCAGCTGCAGGTCTTGAGCAACAAAATAGTTTCATTTCTAGGAATGCTCAATTCCCTTCTGAATAGTTGACTCTACCACAGCGAGAAGAGGCAAAACCTGCCTAACTACTGATGTAAAGAAGAGTTACTGACTTATATTAAATTTCAGCAAGTTTAAAATATTTGGGATAATGACAACTCTTAAGAGCTGGTATATTCTGCACCACTGTGGATTGTTTTACTTAATTCTAGATATGCTTCTGAAAGCAATACCCTAGCCAAAACCCATAAATTATTTGCTACAAGCAGGAAGTACCAGACCCTAGAAATGAAGGGCGAGATTCTAACTGTGCTTAAGTATAGGCAAAATCTCCATTTATGCAACTATATAAGCTCACAAATCACAAAATCTCCCTCATTGTCAAGAATTAAAACAACATATGCAAACTATTTCTGAACAGATCATAGACTCATAGTACGGTTTGGGTTGGAAGGGACCTAAAAGA